TATTGGATACTATTTCTATGACCCCTCTGAGCAAAAGGTGTTTGTTTCGAGGAATGTTGTTTTCTTAGAGGAAGAGTTTGTCTCAAAGAATATTGGAGTCATAGAACCTAATGACGAACCACAAGAAATTCCACAAAATACCACAAATAATATACCAGTAGAGACTGGACCATCTGTAACACAACCTCTTCGAAGATCTGAAAGGATTTCTAGGGCGCCTCAGAGGCTATACCTATTGTTAGAGAACAATGAAGAGGGACTCCTTTTGGATAATGTGTAATATCCCGTCAGTTTATCAGTATAAATCATGTTTTAGTTCCGATATATTAATATTGTCGAGTATTAATTTTCGGAATTAATTATTTCAGTCAGTTCAGTCGAGATTACCGGAAATTATTTTCGACGTACCGTTTACGCTCAGAATAATTTTGGTAATTAATCATTATGTTTAATTGAGTAATTAAACATAATTAGGTGATTAATTAATATTTAATCACGAGCTTAAGTATATAAGTCGTACCATGTCACTCCATTAGTTCTCAAATGCCGTAAGTAAAATTTGAGTGGGAAATTAATTTCCTTCACTCTTAAGCATCTTTTATACGTGTCATTAGGTGGCATAATTAGGTGATTAGTCACCTAAGAAGGCTTTGTTTTACTCCAAGTGTCATTAGTAGAAGATAGCCACCAAGGTCTCATGCAAATTCCCTCTCGGTGCCGTGTGTATATAAGAAGTGTGTTTGGGAAATTTTTCCCAAATTTTCTCTACATATATAGTTAAGTCCTGCATATATATACTCATACGCTAGAGAGGATAGTTGAGGGTGGTGAGAATTCAAAGGAGTACTTCACGGCAATCAGCACACACGCACGGCAGTCAGTCGCACCGCACGGCGACGCCACGCACGCGGAGAGCCACACGAACACGGGAGTCCGAAGTATTGCCGTCAGTTGAGCATAATCGGAGGTAAATTCCCTGTGGTTGTAGTCTGAGATTATCATGTTTATTGAGTTCAGATTTCAGTTCAGGCGTGCATGCGTGTCGTATGTCGTTAAGGCCGTGCGAGAAGCCGTGTCGAGTCATGTCATATTTAAAGTCGAATTCTCCGAACAATCTTCGTATGTTTAGTCTTTTTGTGTAATATCATGATCAGTCAGTCTATGATGTACGAAGAGATTTCATGTTTAAGTGTCGTTTCGGCCGAAGGGCGTGGTCGTGCACTTAGCACGCGCCACGGGCCGTTCACGAGTATTATATTTGATAAATAAATATTCTTTCGAACCAGCATGTTCATTTGTTCGGTACATCATGTTTAAGTTCAGTTGAGGAGGATTTGCCGAGAGAAAGGTTAAGTTGGTCGAGAGACGGCCAACCGCCGTCGGCGGCGAACGGTGCGCTCGCCACGGCCATATTCAATTTACCGTCCAAAATTCATGATTTCAGGTTAATTCAATAATCATGGTTATATCATGTTGATT